GATGTTCCCACTGACTCAGGTCAGAAACACGTCGTACAGAGCGATTAAGCTGCACAATCCGAGTGCGAGTCCGCTAATAGTTCAGCTGGTTATGGACTGGAGCTATCCTCAAGGAGCGCGTCTCTATCACTCTTTGCCCATAAAGTGCGTAATCCAATTATTTGCTTGACAATCGTTTTGCACTTTTATGTAAACCAGCAAATTAACGATGGAAAATTCGACGTCCCGCACAGATTTAAACCCGTGTGCGCGGAATGTTCGTCCACGATCCCAGAGGAGTTCAAACTAGAGGAGAATGCGGAGGAGCGAGAACTGTTTGAGAAACAATGGGGTGTAACGATAGCGCCTCAGTCACTTCCTTTATATTTAAACCCTTCGGAAACGAGGACGATTCGCGTGGCATATACACCCTTCTCTTCTTGGGCGTCGTCTGGTTTTTTATATATTAGGTAAGTTAACTGTGAGAGAGAGAGAGAAAGAGGGGAGTGTGTGTATGTGTGTGTGTAGGCAGGTGCCCCACGTATTGACGCACGTATTACTGGCTTTCCAGAAATAATATGACGATTTTAGAAGTCATACGTATGAGCGGCCGAGGCGCGAGCGCACAATTTAGATTCGGCCATCGCAAGCCGGGATCGAATACGCCTCTGTTGTTCGAATTGACGGACAAGCATCTTAAAGATTGTGAACGTACGTACATTTTTTCTTCCTCGCCTCGTAATCTCGACACGGCAGATGGACACTCTCACGTGTTTAATTTACTGTCTTGTTATTATGCCCGCAAAGCATATTTTGAATGAACGTTTCTTTTCGCGCCGCGCTTATTTCTCGACGATTTTAATTTTGTTTCAATTATCGTAAGGATATTTCTCTTATGCCGCTTCCTTTTCCCAGGGGATCGCAGCAAGCTTGTCACGACTCTCACCGTAAAGCGATCTTTCACGGCTAGAAACACGGGGGAGCTGCCGATCGAAGTTTACGGCTTCTACATCAACGACTGGCAGTGCGAGGGTTACGGTTTCAAGGTGCTCGACTGCACGCCCTTCAAGTTGAGTCCGAACGCTACCAAGAGAATCGAGATAGCGTTCACCCCGGACTTCACGTTGTCGCGTGTCGAGCGGAAGCTGCTGGTGATGACGAGCATGGGACCGGACGCCGGCGAGAACGTTGAGAACGGCGTGGTGATACTTAATTTGCTGGCGACTCTGCCGGTGCACTCGTTAAATTTGTGCGGGTCGGTGCTCGCCAGACCGCCGTGGGAAGGCGCGGTGCAGAAGGCCGCTATAATCCTCTCGTCGGTACTGATGTTATTCGTCGCCGTGGTCTCGTTCCTCGAGGCGGACCGAATATTACGGGAGGGTCTGGCCAATTATTCGAAGGAGAACCCGGTGCAGCCACCTCTGGATCTGCGGCTGCTGTCACATATCCCGACGCACAACACGACGCAAGGAGGTAGCAGTGGCGGCGGTTGTGTCGCTAACAAGAACGAGAAAGTCGTGACGAGCGACGAGAAGAGCAAGACGAAGAAAGATGAAGCGTTCCCGGACTGGTCGTTGATGAACGTGAAAAAGTGCAAGGACAAAGATGCGCAGAAGGGACTGAAGATCCCGGATTGGTCCGCCGAGGAAGAACGTAGATTCAAGCTAGACACCGAGTCCAAGGATCTGTTGTCCTTCAAGCGATGCGAGGAATCGCCTAATGTGGACAACATTAAATCGTCGAACGTAGATAACATTAACGCCGCGAATACGACAAGTGCGTACGTATCGAAGAAAAAGAATACAAAGATCCTTTTGTCGAAGAAACAAAACAACGCTCAAGAAGCTCAGTCGGATAATTGCGTGGCGAGTGATACACTCACGGACACTCAGTTCATTCAAGAGAAGAAGTCAATTGTCAATATTGTCAACGCGGTTACAAAGTCGAGTCCGACGTCGAGCAGAAAAGGAAAAGCGCAGCCGAGTGTCAAAGAGGAAGCGAAGTTGAATAATAACGAGGTTCAAATGGACGCGACGATAATGAATAACAATCGGGTTAACAAGTCTGACAACAAGCGCAATAAACAGACAAATAACAGTGGAAGCAACAACAGTAACCATACTAATCACGTTTCATTAAAAAAACTCGAATCGGCGAGCACTCAGAAGACCGTTCACCTTTCGGAAGAAGAAACATCATCCACGACAACGGAGAGTTCAACTCACGATGAAACGACATCGTGTAAAGTAAGTCCCGCTTTGTAAATTCGGTAAAAGATATAAATTTTAGTTTAATTTTACGATTGTACTTTTCCAAAATCAACACTTGTGTAATTGTACGAACGATTTAATGCCTGGAAATTAGATACCGAGAAGTTTTGCTGCTGAAAGATTTTATTATTGCTAAAATGATAATATGGAATTCTTGTCTCGTGAATCGAGATATCGATTATTAAGTCAGTTATGTAAACAGATACAGATTCTTCCTGAGACGTCTATAAAAAGATTTTTCTCTCTTAATTTATTCTCAGAGTTCTGATCAACCGTGCGGCAAGCAAGAGAAGCTGCAAAGGAAGCCGATATCTAAGAAGAGCAAACCTCAGTCTATTCCTCCTGTGCCATGCATAGATTATAAGGATAACTACGAAGGCGACTGTGATGACGATGAGTACGATAAGGAGAAGCAGAATAATCCAAATAGATGGAAGACGAACACTACTAGATCCAGCACAAAGCATATTCATACCTCGCGTACCGTCGAGTCATCCTTTAAGTTGTCACGTCCAAACAAGAACCAGCCGCGAAAGGAGAAAACGGTGCAGAAACGTCGCAGTGCTGACAAAATACATGTTAAATGTAGGTGCTCATACATGACGTATATTGAAAATGCATCAGAGCGAGAGCTCACCGACATGTTCTTCTCAAATCTTTGAATTCTAAATCGATAATAACACGTACAAAATTTTATTTCAAATTGAATGCAATTTGTTAGACTGAATCGTGGGAAAAGATTTTCTTTTTCCTTCAATTAATTTATTTCGGTTAAATCTGTAATTTTTTAACGCACGTAGAAATACAAGGAGTATCTCCTGCATATATAAAAATATTAGTTTTTATTCATTGTTGCAGCACCTTCTGTAAACGGAAACATAAGTCAAAAAGAGGATGTAACGCGCACCATAGGAATAATGCCCACCCCTTTGCCGCCACCGTCCTCCTGTTGGGGCGAGAACAGAGCCAAGTTCAGCGACGTAGTAGCGCGTAGTCAAGAGATCGTGTCGCCGTATTCCAATTTAAATCACATGAATCACAAGGGTCAAACGAGCACGTCGAATCTGTCCGCGGTATTCAGTACCGACGTCAAAGACGTTCAATACGCTAAATCGCAATCGACGCAAGAGCCGCCGCAAACACCAAAGGAATACAATTTGATGTCGAGTTCGGCCCCACTCTGTAATGCAAACGCGAACAAAAGTAAATCACTCGAGCCAGAGTCTACAATTTTGCAGCCGGAATCGCAACATTCGAATAGTTACTTCATCAACACTTTCACGGAACATCCAGTGAGTCGTTATTCAAATTAATTTGATCGCCAAACATATGAGTCACGTAATGAAATTCTCAAGTTATCAAATTATCAGCAGTTTGAACGCGAGCTGGTGCCATACGACGATCTTCCAGAGACCGACGAGCCTTTAGTAGAATTGGAGACACCCGACGAAGACACGCGGTGCCAATTGTGGGAAGACACTAGTCCAATAATAAATTTATTGACAGAGAGTACGAACGGATTTCAATTGGAGTCGCCGAAAATCCCGGAGAAACCAGTCATATCCGACTTGAAAGGTACATTAGTCCAACTACTCACAGAAAAGATATCGAAACTTTTCTTATTTTAAATTGTCTAAATTCAAGTGTAACCAGAAATCACTCAATGTATATATTTTTTTCTTAATTAAAAGAAACTTGATACAATTTGTATACGTTTGCAGATACTTGGACAGTTGATACAAACTGGGAACCATTGCACACAAGGGCAGCGGTCGGAGAAGAACGTAGCGGCGCATGGGGAATCAACACAGGAGGAGTGTGGGCTGCCGCGCCTTGGGGTGCGGCCGCACCCCCCATGATATCGCAAACATTACAGTCCGAGACGGATACGCAAGTACGTGGCCGACGAATGTAAAAAGAAACCCGGCCGTTACGCGAAGCCTAGTAATTATGTTCGATTGTCATTTCAGGAAAGATCGGGATTCGATCCGTTTCGTTCGCTCAGCACAATATGGACGCCATCATCGACGGAATCGTGGAGAACGAAACGCGAGGATTAATGACTTGGAACTTGGAAGGTTTTATCTTGTGATATCTTACATTTGTTTCACGATTTTTTGGTGAAAGTCGACAAAAGGAAAAAGAAAAAGTAACGATGGCAATATAATTGCCGCGATAGCAGATTCAAATGTTTGGAAATTGTTATGTTTTGTTGCTACTGCGCTGAGCGTACTTTGTGATATAATTGTTACTATTACGTTGTACGATAGTAACGCAGATGAATAGTCCCAAACGAATTATTTTCGTACAGTCTCTTAAACCAAAATCTAGATGTTACTTCTTATTTTCTATTTCGTTATTTAAATCAATGGATATTTTTTAAATTATTAATTATTTGCAAACGCAATATTTCGTGCAGGATAACGAAATTCTCTTTCTTGTCTTTCTTTTTTCGCTTTAGTTTGCTATATAGAATGAACATGACCGATCAATTACAGTGAGAATAGAAATAGTACATATGGAATTACAAAAAATCGAATATAAAAAGTGAAAAAGGAAATACAGTTTCATATTGTAATCACAGCACATATTAATTTAAAGGAACATGTATCGTTATACATTGCTTATGCGGAAAATTGATAATTTGCTCCTTGACACACAAGACACCCTCCTTTATCTTCTCTTACGATATCGCCCATGTATGTATATGCAAGGAAAAGGAAAGGAAAAAAAAAGAGAACTACCATAATATTCGAGAGTTCCCGATTTTGATATTAACCATGAGTGATAATTAAGTTATTTGACATGAGTGAGAACTGTGATTTTTTATAGTCTTGACTTGTAGAGGATATCTTCAAGCAAATTTTCAAGAGACGAGTTTACAAGATTTGCGCCGTATACACAAAATACGAAGTGAAAGAAATGTGTACCTATTCTTCAAGACTGGTAATCGTTGTGTTTTAATAAAGAAGTCACAAAAAAAAACGAGCACCGTAATGTTTTGTACTCGAGAAGATAGGAACTTTTTTTCACAGATTAACGGAGTTGAAGCCCACGCCGCGAGTTCTTTCAGAAGCACTGATATTTGCACACGTGTCACGTTTATACGCATGCTAGAAACCGGTAAAACGACAACTCCATAATTTATACCCTCTCTATGAATATCAGTTTATTAAATTTTAGTCGGCTGATGCGATTGACCCCGTTTCCTCTTTACAGCACAAGATCTCTTCCAATATTGTAAAAAAAACTTTACAAGAAAGTCAATCTGCAACCCATTCTCGATGTACTCGTGAAAACGCACGACTTTGCCTGTTGTATCCTCCGGAGGAGCAGCTGCAAATTAAGTTTTTCGCGTTATACGCCTCGCCATTTTAATTTACAAAAGTAGAAAAGAGATGTACAAAAATATATATCCATCCATCTACTTCTCGCATGTTTCTGCGATATCGAAAATTATGTACCGCATTATCGTTTTCTATCTTCTTTTGCAACTTCCTCCTGTTTATCGCGGAACTGCTGGTCCTGGACTGAACGGTCTCCTCGCCAGGAATCTTGTGCCGAGGCTTCTGTTGCGCCATAATCTTCCTCAGCAACAACTCGTTCTCCCGCTCGATCTTGCGCATCTCCTCGTCGGTGAAGCTCATGTTCCACCGTCTGCACCTCCTCGACTTAGCAAACCTGTCCCTATCCGCCGTGGCAGCGCGAGGCGGTTCCGAGGCGTCACTGAGCGAGCAAGTTTCATCCTGACGATCGTCCTTCCACCTTGACTCGCTAATGTCCTGCTCCTCTAAACTCTGGCTGAGCTGAAGATCAGTGACGTGAATCAGGGAAGAAGAGTTCAACGATCTCGACGTGACATTCGTGACTTCGGAATCGTCGCAGGACTCGTCGGAGCAGAAGGACTCGCCTGTATACACAGATTCGTCGTCCTTAGTCTTCTGTACAACTTCGTCTTCTTCGTCCGAAGCTGAAGAGTTTGGCCCCTCCAAGTTCGTCTCTTCGGTCTCGCTCTCCTCCTCGTCGATTTCGTGAATATTAAAGGCGTTGTTGAAACTTTCTTTCATCCCCTGCGTATCTTCGTCAGAGGCGTATCGACATTCGCAGATGGTGTTTGTCTCGCCCTGGTTCGCCATAGCGAGGCGAATATCATTGGAGAAGGCGGGGCAAGATCCAGCGAGGAACGCCAAGTTCCCGCTGATGATCACGCGAATGAAACAAAACGTGACTCACGTGGTCTCGGGTAAACCCGAGCCCCGCGATTACCCCAGCCAAACACGGTAACCATGCCGACCGAACGGCCAACAAAAGGTCATGCACGAGACCATGCTGGAGCAGTGGAGCCTGTCCTGATCAATAAGTCGATTCCGAGTGTTATCGATAAGACAAAATATACAAGGATCGGCCGAAGCATGTAGCCCATTTTTGTATTATCAGAATCCTTTAATATTGTCCAACAAAGCAAGGTGGTTTTAGGCTAGACGCACACGTCTCGTCAAATTCATATCGCTACATCTATAATCGAGTCAGCATACTTATAAAATTACGTATAAACATTTTCTTTTTGTATATTCGTATTTATGAGTGCTTACGAGTGCTTTCGGAGCACAGCCCCCAACTTGTGTCGCTCATCGTAATTCCAGTTACGAAATGTTTGCAGAATATTTCTCGAGAGTTGACATATTCTTTTATATTTATATAAAATATAAATATACGAGATCGGACGACATTTTCGAGAGCAGTACGAACTCTGTACAAAAGGTACGATACAAAAAAAAAACCGCCCGTTCAATCGTTCGCGAAACCAAATACTTTTAGACTACCGGCGTCGCGCTTCCGGTCGTAAGAGTCTTTATCGTCACACGCGTACGCCAAGAGATACTGTTTCGGGTGCCACGCGACGGTGAACGTCGCCGCTTCGACCGGGACGTCTGCGATCTTCTCACCGGTCTGCACCTCACCAATGTCTATGACCAAGTCCTCGGAGGCGGCTGCCAGGAGCTGTCCATCGTACGAGAAGGAGATGGTCCTGACCGGCCACTCCAGTCGCGAGAACGTTCTCAAGCAACACAATTCATCAGCGTCCCACAGGGAAACCAGCGCGTCCGCGGATCCAATAGCGAAATACCGGCCGGTCGGGTCGAACTCGATGCAAATACATGTACCAGGATGAGCCTTGATCACATGCAACAGTTCCAGCTCCGGATAGCTGAGTATGTGCACGCAGCCCTGGCCGTTGGTCAGGTAAAACGTGTCCGAGTCCTTGTTCCACGAGATCTCGTTCACCTCGAAGTTGAACTGCTCCTCCGCGCGTATTTTCATCACCCGGGCGTCGATAAATGTAACCAAGTCCTCCTTGTTCCCTACTGCGATCGTGTTCCCGTCCGGCGACCACGATATATTGATGTTTTCCCCTCGGGTGCTGATGTTTGCCGTGCATTTCTGCGTTCTTGTATCCCAGATGCGAACCGTCTTGTCTCCGCTCGCCGTGGATAACAATTCTGGGGAGAAGGCGTGCCAGCACAACTGATCCACGCTGCCTCCGTGCCCTCTAAAAGTCGTTTCCTGCTTCTAAATAAGATAAAAAGTTATATCAAGAACCTTACAATTGAATCTACATATGTTCAGACTCGCGTTGATATTAAAACAGTTCATCAGCATGTGGAGATTGACGGAAGGCATGTCGAATATTCGATAAATTGTTCTGAATCTAAATTGGAAATTTTAGCATTTCAAACTGTCATTTTCCAAGCGTGACTTTTCGAGGGACATTTGAATTTAGAAACGGACACAATTGCAAACGAGCCTCTACGAACATTCCAAGCGACGCGACTGCCATTTGCAATTTCTGAAGAGCTACCTCGAGGAAAGTGAATAAAGCAAACCGGTTGAACTTATCGTAATCAATAGGCTTGTTTTCTGTTCCTACACTAGTGAACTAGTGCAATAAATTAGAGTAAAGGCCTGTTCTTTATTACTGCATTACTGAACTAGTGCAATAAGTTAAAATGAAACAAATAGATTACCTCTCATTCCAACTCATTGCACCAGTGTGCACTAGTTCAGGAGTGCAGCGATAAAAAACAGACCCATATTTTCTCATTCTACTTTACTGCACTAGTTCACCAGTGCAGGAACAGAAAACAAACCTCATGTTTCTCTTGAAAAGAAAGTTCAGTGTTTTTTCCACGAATTACTTAAAGGAAAAAGCAACTGTTAGAACGTCGTTCACATGGAACATCCTGCAAGACCGGCTACCGTGCATTAACATTCATGCGTACAATTCCTTGCTGTAACTGCCGACTTTACGAAAAAAAACAAACAAACAATCAAGGGACAACCATTGAAGTGTCGCGTTAAGTTTAAAAAAATCTCGCGGAGAGGAATTCTGTCCCAAGGCGAGACGCTCCGCGCGCGGGGACTCGTTAGAGGTTATGTTTACTAACCAAGCGATCCGGGCACAGGGAGAATATGCAAACGGACTTGTCGAAGGAGCCCGAGGCCAAGTATTTGCCGTCGCAGCTCCATCCTACGCTGTGCACCTTCGCCGAGTGGCTCTGCTGCTCCCGGATCTTGTTGTGCGACTTGAAATAGTTTATCAGCTCTTCCACACTCGTGCCGGTGCGCGCCATCGTCTTTCAAATGCTCGCTACCGAGAAGAGGCGCCTCGTCTACATAGGATGTGTTCGAAAATGGATTTAGTTACTGCCAGTGAAAACAGTATAGTTGGTAGCAATGAAAATTACTGGTGCTGCGTTTTTCGCACGCCAGTAAAGTCAGTAAGGCTGGGTCTACATTGGATGTCGTAAGTCGAATAATGAACTGTGATTGGTCAATTTCTTCCGACACGACTTACGACATCCAATGTAGAC